ACGCAGAGGGTCAGAGTGTGGGTAGGATTGGGCAGACACAAATTGGAGAGGGAGTGTGAGATTGGTGGTAGAGTGAGGGAGAGGCTGGGAGAACAGTAGTGACAGAACAGGATACTGAGCACTTACAGCCCAACTCCCGAGTAAGTTGGCTCTCACAGTCTCAGTCCCGCTATATGCCCTTAGGAATTACTGAGGGAGTTGGAGTGAGGCAGAGCAGAGATACCGTACCAGACGCTTCCACCAGTTGCACCTTTGATAAGGGATAAAAAGTGCTCCTGCCTCCACTAGGGCCCCACTGGCGTGCAGTGCACACTTATGGTAGTGCTGGCCCTGGTGTACCCCTCTGGTGGGTGTCATCCAGGTGTGGTCCACACCCCCCACACCCTGATAGTGACGCCACTGAGTAAAACAGAACAAAATAGAATAGAAAATAATAGCATAGAAAAAAATATTATAGAATAAAATAGAATATAACCATCTTCCGAAATTTGAATAGAATACATTCTAATATAATAGATTCGATTAGAATAGAAAAGAATAGAAAATAAAAGAACTGAAAATAGAATAGAAAAAAGCAATAGAAAAGAATAGAATAAAACAATATATCCGCCTTCTGAAATTAAAATTTAGAATAGAATAAATTTGAATTCAAATAGGATAGAATAGAAAATAAAAGAATATAATAAAATAGAAGAGTGGAATAGAAAAGAAAAAAACAATAGAATATATAATAATAGAACAAATATAACCATCTTCCGAAATTCAAATTCAAATAGAATAAATTTGAATAGAATAGACTAGAATAGAAAAAAACAATAAATCAAAGAAAAAAGTGAGCGCTTAAATGGACAAGCAGCTGAAACACACAGGACAACCAAAAGAATTCCTCACATGAATATAAATATAAAGTGCAGCGCTATAATAAGGTAAATAGATAAATTGATGAATAAAATTAATAAGTACGTCAAAAAAAGGGGGGAAAAGCCCCAGGTCAAAAAAAAGTCCCAGTAAAGATGACTTCAGGCGCCCATACACACTGACCAAAGGTGTATGCACTGTGGCAGAGATGGAGTTCAGGATGTAGTCAGGGAACAGAGGTAGATGCAATCCCCGGATTAGTGAAGATCCCCAGGCCAATGTAACACACGTTCCACAGGACAGCAAGGAAGCAGTCACAGCTCAACCAGAGAAAAACACCACTCCTTCACTTCACCTCAGCGGTATCTAGGAGGAGATACTCCCCACAGAAAGAAATGCCCATAGTAAGGTACAATAAATAACGTTTATTGAAAATAAAACAGGATGCATCCAGAAATGATGAATAATGAACACACACCGCTAGCTGCATGTGAAAGCTAGCAGTGAAGCAAAAACGGACTAACCGTCCTGTCAGATGTAATGGCCGCCGGAGCTCCCCAATGCTCCGACGGCGTGGCGTCAAGGCGTGCGCAGGTTCCTCCTTACGCGTTACGTGCCAAGCACATCCTCAGAGAAAAGAACCGGTTTAATTTGAATAGAATAGACTAGAATAGAAAAAAAAAACAATAGAAATAGAATAAAATATAATATAACCGTCTTCAAATTTGAATTTCGAATAGATTAAATTTAAATTCGAATGCTGATTTGATATTTTTCGATTCAGTCAAATTCGAAAACGTATAAACTAAAACAAACTAAATGAATTCCGAAAACGAATTAAATTTATTTAACTAAACAAAATTATTTAAATACTTAATTGAAACTAAACACATTTTTCATTCTGCACGTCTAATGTTTACCTGCTCCCTTGTGCTCTCAGGTGTTCAAAATTCTTTTTGACTATGAAAGGACATGAAGAAGGCGGCGCTGGGTAGACTTTGAAGCAAAGGGGGCAGGAAGGGAGGGGGAAGGTTGGAGTCACTCTATCAGTTTTTAAGTAACCTAATCAAATTATTGCAAAGAATCAGGAAATAAAGAATGTAAGTGCTTCACGTCATTCATCATTTATTGAAATTAGCTGATTAGCATTTTTCATTTTTTAAAAATAATCATTTTTTATAAATAATTACATAAAAATACACAAGTATAGAAAAAAAAGGAAAAATGTATCTTTGCAGATAACGTGAACTTGGGACAAACAAAGTTAATTTCTGTTACTCTACATTTATTAGAAGTTTAGAGAGCTTTAGCCTGGGTTCACACTGATGCGGTGCGGAATTTGCAGCGGTTTCTGTGCAAAGTCTGCACCGCATCACAATCTCACCCTGTTCATGTGAACAGCTGCGGGTGTGAATGTTAAGTTAGCAACACCCCGAAATCGGTCCGCAAAACGCAGTGCAGAATCAAATCACATAGGTGTGAGTACACATGCAATCCAATTCTAGTGCAGACCAAAAAAGGGTCCTGCACCTTTTTGGTGCGGATGCGGCGCGATTTGAGCCATACAAAATGTATGGCTCAAATTGCACCGCAGAGAATTTGCATGTGATTTGCACAGGAATGCGGTACGGTTCCTGTGTGAATCACATGAGATGTGCCGTACCACACAAGTGGGAACTCAGGCTTAATGTATTTGATATTGTTCAATGATTTTAATAGATTCCTGACCTGGCTGGATTGTTTGTACATATCACTGTTTACACCCATATTATATGCAGAAAAGGATCATTTTAACATTTCTTTTAACGTAAGAGATAAATGTTTGGATATCAAAACAACCAGGATATTAGAGGTAGTCATTTAAGGGTAACATTGGCCCATATATGAGGCTCACAAGCGGTCACTCCCATTACTCACTGCATTATGTACAATTAGAACACAGCTGGACTACTATGATTGAATAGATCAATTTCAAATCAGCTCACGTCCTGCCAGGAAGGACCTGGAATCATGATCTGCACAAGAGTGAGCAATTTAACAAAGAAAAAAATACCTCCCTCCTATATATTCTAAATCTAACAAAAGCTGATCATGACTGTAACAATGCTTCCCTCTTGTGGATACGAATAGGAATGCATGAGCTCCTCTAAGGCCTCTTTCAAACTGGCATTGTCAAACCTGATTTATACACTATATTGCCAAAAGTATTGTGACACCCCTCCAAATCATTGGATTCAGATGTTCCAATCATCTCTATGGCCACAGGTGTATAAAATCAAGGACCTAGGCATGCAGACTGCTTCTACAAACCTTTGTGAAAGAATGGGTTGCTCTCAGGAGCTCAGTGAATTCAAGAGTGGTACCGTGATACCGTGATAGGTTGCCACCTGTGCAGTAAGTCCATCCATGACATTTCCTTGCTACTAAATATTCCACAGTCAACTGTTAGTGGTATTATAATGAAGTGGAAGCAACTGGGAACAACAGCAGCTTAGCCACGATGTGGTAGGCCACGTAAAATGACAGAGCAGGGTCAGCGCATGCTGAAGCACACAGTGTGCAGAAGTCGCCAACTGTCTGCAGAGTCAATAGCTAAAGACCTCCAAACTTCATGTGGCCTTCAGATTAGCACAACAGTGTGTAGAGAGCTTCATGGAATGGGTTTCCATGGTCAAGCAGCTGCATCCAAGCCTTACATCACCAAGTGCAATGCAAAGCGTCGGATGCAATGGTGTAAAGCATGCTGCCACTGGACTCTAGAGCAGTGGAGAAGGGTTCTCTGGAGTGACGGCTTACTCCTCTCTGCCTGGCAATCCAATGGACATGTCTGGGTTTGGCGGTTGCCAGGAGAATGGTACTTGGCTGACTGCATTGTGCCAAGTGTGAAGTTACAGGGAGGATTATGGTGTGGGCTTGTTTTTCAGGGGTTGGGCTTGGCCCTTTAGTTCCAGTGAAGAGAACTCTTAAGGTGTCAGTATACCAAGGCATTTTGGACAATTTCATGCTCCCAACTTTGTGGGAACAGTTTGGGGATGGCCCCTTCCTGTTCCAACATGACTGTGCAACAGTGCACAAAGCAAGGTCCATAAAGGCATGGATGAACAAGTTTGGGGTGGAGGAACTTGACTGGGCTGCACCTCAACCCAATAGAACACCTTTGGGATGAATTAGAGTAGAGACTGTGAGCCAGGCCTTCGCGTCCAACATCAGTGCCTGACCTCACAAATGCACTTCTGGAAGAAAGGTCTAACATTCCCATAGACACCCTCCTAAGCCTTGTGGACAGCCTTCCCAGAAGAGTTGAAGCTGTTATAGCTACAAAGGGTGATCCAACTCAATATTGAACCCTACGGACTAAGACTGGGATGCCATTAACCACTAGCCTACAGGGAACTTATACCCCTTTCCTGCCCAGGCTAATTTCCAGCTTTCAGCGCTGTTGCACTTTGAATGACAATTGCGCGGTCATGCAACACTGTACCCATATGAAATTTTTATATTTTTTTGTGACAGATAGAGCTTTATTTTGGTGGTATTTAATCACCTCTGAGTTTTTCATTTTATCTTAAACAAACCAAAAACCACTGAAAATTTAGAAAAAAAAATATTTTTTCTTAGTTTTTGTTATAAAATTTTGTAAATAAGTGATTTTTCTCCTTCACTGATGTGCGCTAATGAGGCTGCAGTGATGGGCACTGATAGGCTGCACTGATGGACAATGATAGCTGGCACTGATGGGCACTGATGAGGAGGCACTGGTAGGTGGCACTGACTGGCACTGATTGGCATTGATAGGTGGCACTGACTTGTACTGATGGGTGACACTGAAAGGCAGCTCAGATGGGCACTGATATGTGGCATTGATGTGGCACTGAAATGTGGCACTGATGTGGCACTGATGGGCGCTGGCAGGTGGCATGGATGAGAACTGAGAGCTGGCACTGATGGACACTGACAGGCGGCGCTGCTGAGGCTACACAAATCATCACGGCACACTGATCATCAGTGCTCTGACAGCTCATGAAGAGAGAAATGCTGATAACCGGCATGTCCCTGTTTACATGTGATCAGCTGTGATTGGACACAGCTGATCACATGACCGAGCTGACATCTTCGGCTCGTTCCGTGGATCGCGCATGCGCGGTTAGAATGGGAGGACGTCATATGACATCTTCCCAGAATGAGAGAACCACCTTGCGTCCATCATATTACTATATGGCGGGCAGGAGGCGGTTTAAAGTTCATGTGTGTGTAAAGGGAGGCGTCCCAATACTTTTTGGCAATATAGTGGATGTGTCTAGATGACATTTCTTAATGTATAAAAATGCAGGTAATGATTCTCAATGATAATATTCAAAGTCAGCTTTTACTTCAGTTTAGCAACATTTAGAAACATTTAGAAGAGCTAGAAGAAAATAGAATTCTGTGGGTCTGGAATCCAATTAGAAACTCTAAACACAGCTATACACGTGTACTGTATATGTGGCTAAAAACCCACTTTAAAACACTTTAGAAACATCTAAATGCAGGGAAAAGTGACCTGGGAGTCAAAAAAAAGTTGTTTTCATTTCCCAGATAACGTCTCCAGTGTTTAAAAAGGTATGCATAAGAGTGCATGCAGCCTTAAACTGATATTAAAGGCAATTTCCTTTTAATAATAAACATGTCATACTTACCTGCTCTGTGTAAACGTTTTGTACAGGGCAGCCCCAATCTTCCTCTTCTTGGGCCCCCGCTGGCGCTACTGACCCTTCCATCATCCTGCCAAATGTCCCCAGAGCAAGTAGCTTACTATGGAGGCACCCGAGGCTTGCTCCTGAGCCACTGCTCTGCATGTCCATTCACACACAGAGCTGCCCCCTCTCTCTCTCCTTATTGGCTCACTGGCTGTGATCAGCCAATGAGGAGGGAGAGCCGGGGCTCTTGTGCACATCGCTGGATTGCGATGGGGCTCAGGAGAGTATTAGGGGGGCTAAAGGGAGCCTTTACAACCACTTTAAATTGTATTTCCACTTTTGCAGCAAAATTGGGATAACACCCATTTTACACTTGTTATACTTTCCCATTCACATAGCATAACCTTAAAAAATGCTTACCTTTTCACTTGGCTCACAGATCCTACCTAGCTTTCCCTTTCTGTGTAATGTTAGGAAGGGAGCTGGGGAGCTATGTTTACCATATTTAACCCTGTCTGCATTGTGCTAGCAGATCTTCATCATCGTAAACTAGATATGTACATTCTCTGTCTTAGAAAGGGTTAAAGATATCAAGGCTTCGGTGGTACATTGTATACACTGTAAAATAGGTTCCTAAATCTGTCCCCTAATTGCACATTGCAAACTATTCTTAACAATATAAGATGGATATATAAAGTCCTGCTTATAAGGGCTCTAGCAATTATGGATGAAGCTGAGATTTAAAGTGTATTTCCACCTCTGCAGTCACATTTTCGACCCCCCCTTCCCCCCACACTATATGTCTATGTTTCCATTACCACAATTACCTAAATATAATTAACATTAACCACTTCCCGCCTGACTATTGCAAAATGATGGCCGTTTGGGACTTTTGTCGTTCAAGGTGGACGTCATATGATGTACTCCTGGAACACAACTAATGCGCTGCCATGCTGCAGCGAGATTTGTCACTGGCTGTGTCCACCGGACAGCACAGCCAATGAAAGATCACTGTACCGGTCCGCTGCTGGTACCATGTGATCACTGTGTTTGATTTATGCCATTCATTGTGTACAATAATGTTGCTAGCTGTGATGGGTCACAGTGATCACATGGTACAGATAGGGCCAATCACAGCCCATCTGTCCCATGTGATTAGCTGTGGCCAATCACAGCAATACACACTGAATGGATCAATTTCATTCAATAAAAATGATTACTTATACCAGTTAAATTCACAGCTATAAACACAATCATAATCTGTAAAAAAACAAAAACAACCTGATCACTTCCGCAGGATAGTACAATCTTACTAAGGTTTAAAAATTGTAAAAAACATTTTGTAAATAAATTATTAAAATGTTTATATATATATATATATATATATATATATATATATATATATATACTGTCACCATTCAGTGTCCCTGATCACCACACCAGTTGTATTTTGACGCTGTACTTCACTGGTGACAGTATGTAAAAAAAAACAATTGTGCAAAAAATGTTTTCTTCATTTTCCAAACAATTATGGCAAAAAATTACAATTTCCAAAAACTTGCCATGCCTCTTACTAAATACCCTGGACTGTCTACTTTCCAAAAAGGGGTCATTTGGAGATATTTGTATGTTCTGACAGACCTCAAGAAATGAGATAGGGCGTCAGTACATCGGGATTGATCAATTTTTAGATATATCTCATAGCTTGTGGACTCTAACTTTCCTACAGAGTAAATAATAAACACTGATTTGGATTATTTTCAACAAAGAAATGTAGCAGAATACATTTTGGCCTAAATTTATGCAGAAAGATTATTTGCAAACTTTTATAACAAAAATGAAGAAAAACGCATTTGTTTTCAAAATTTTCAGTCTTTTTTCATTTATTTAGCAAAAACTAAATTTATTTAGCAAAAACCTGGTCTTTTATACCATGCAATGTGCGCTCCAGCAAAAACACACCAGAGGGATTGTGTTGCTAATCCTTGCCTCATCATGGACATTACCATTATGGTTACTTCTTTGATTGGTGACAGGATGATACATGTCTGCTGCATTAGGACTCACTGACGTGGTAAAAAGAAGAAAACTAGACCCCCAGAGCCTGTCCTCATCCCATACTCTTACATACTAATTGATGGTCCACAGATGTATATGTAGTTGCTGCAGCATAGCCAATTTTGATTTCCAGCATATGACTACGAGTTTCAGGCAAGGCACATGAGGTAAGCCACCTCTTGGACTGCCCCATAAGAGCTGACAGAATCTCTGGCCCAATATGGCTCTTGTCCCCTAGACATAATAACTGCAAAAGAGTTTGGCACCATTTCGCCTCGAATGTTGTGTATGCTCTTGGTTGCAAGGGGGGGGGACTGGTGGTTCTGAGGACTCACCAGATAAGACCATTGTGCAGGAGAAGGTAGATGTGACACTGAGCTGTCACTATAACTATGGTGCAGGACATGACGTGGCACTACCAGCTTCAGTTGTGAGTCCATTCTGCATCCTTCCAAGCCACCAGCAAATCTACCCAGGGCACCATAAAGGAGAACTAGTATCCCTGCTTATCCTTGCTGGACCATGTGTTGGTTGTCATGTGGAGCCTGCTGTTGACTGTGTGGTCCAGTGACATGAAGACATTACCTTACACATTCTAGTGAAAGGCAACGATGGCCTTCTGGATGAAAAAATGGTGACTAGGCACCTGCCAGCGTGGTAAAGCACAGGTCACAAAGTCGCAGAAGGGAAAGACTCCACAAACTGGAATTGTGGCAGGTGTAAAAGCTAGCAATTTTGCCACACGAGCATTGTGATGCTTGGCATGGGGATGATTGGGTGTCATTTTTTTCCTCTGCTCTATCAGCTATAGAAGAGAAACCTCTCAGGTCATTGATGCTTGTCAGGGCAGGGCTGTGGAACGGACAGGTAGGCCTAGTGGCAGGGTAACGCACTGGCTGACGACAACCACCACCAACAGACCGAAGTCCCTCAGGGCGCGGAGTCTAAGTCCCAGGCTGCTCTACACCAGGGCCCCTGATGGTGGGGATGGACTTGACGCAGCCAGGTACCAGGTCGCGGCCCCCGAGACACCCCGGCTGCGGTAATGGCCGCCGCCAATGGCGTGTAGCTGGTGAGAATGACAATAGCGTAGTCAGGCAAGCTGGGTCGACAACAACGGGACAAAACGGTACAGAACAGTAGACAGAGAATCACAGGTCACGGGCCGGGTTCAGCAACGGGAGGTCAGATCGAAGGAAAACACAGAATGGTCTTAATTACAAGCCGAGTCAGAATACCAGAAGAGTCACGAGCGTATACACAGAGCTGTAGGAAGACCAAGACACAAGACACAAGTGCAAAGAGCATGTGCGGGCCACAGGCTTATATGTCATCAGCCATACCCCTCTGGGGGATGGACCTCAGAGACCTGAAGGCATAAAAGGATTCCCACCATGCACAGCAGAATCCAAGATGGACACCAGCACATGGAGTAACAAAACTTCAGGGAAAAGGTAGGACCTTGACAGTACCTCCTCCTCAAGGGCCCCTCCCCCTCCGCGGCTCAACAAAAGGTTTCTGAGGAAAGCGGGTATGAAAAGCGCGGAGGAGGGCAGGAGCATGGACATCCGCGGAGGGAACCCAGGAACGCTCCTCGGGACCATAACCGCGCCAATGAACCAGGAACTGTAACCGACCGCGCACCAATCGAGAGTCCAGGATCCGGCTCACCTCATACTCCTCATGACCGTCAACCCGAATGGGACGGGGCCGAGGCAGAGAGGTAGTGAAGCGATTGCAGATCAGAGGTTTCAACAGTGATACATGAAAGATATTGGAGATCCGCATCCCAGGTGGAAGGGCAAGGGCATAGGCCACCGGATTCACCTTGCGGAGAATGCGAAAAGGACCGACAAAACGGGGAGCTGGTTTGGGTGTGGGTACCCGAAGATTGAGGTTACGAGTAGACAACCACACCCGATCGCCGACCTGGTATGAAGGAGCGGGCAACCGTCTGCGATCAGCCTGGAACTTCTGACGCTGAGCCGAGTCCCTCAAAGCCCTCTGGATCTGCCCCCATGAAGAACGCAGGGTAGCAAGATGGTTCTCCACAGCCGGAATGTCCTGTGGTGAGAACCTCTCAGGTAATACCGCGGGTTGGTACCCATAGTTGGCCATGAAGGAAGACATCCCGGAGGAGGAGTTGACCGCTGAGTTCCTGGCAAACTCTGCCCAAGGCAGGAGATCGGACCAATCGTCCTGATGGTCCAAGATATAACACCGAAGGAATTGTTCTAAGGCCTGATTGGAACGCTCCGCAGCCCCATTGGACTGCGGGTGGTAGGCTGAAGAAAAGGAGAGACTAATACCCAAC